TTCAAGGGGTAATAACTCCTATAAGAAGTCACTGGATCGCTTCGGTTGAAATTATTTAAAGTTGCGACATGTGACAAGGAACATTTTAAAAAAAACCATTTGCCGCTAACTCTTATGGTTTATGAAGAGTAGCGATAACAATGGTTTTTGTAATTGGGGAGATAACTCCTATAAGGTAAATAGTACACTTTGGTGCCCCTAATACAAGATAGATTTTATTAACCCGATACTTAATACCAAAGATCATTTGGATCTGTCGCGTACTTTTTTTGACTTTTGACTTTGAAATCGGACGAGGAAAAAGAATAATAATAATAATAAACAAACGAAATACAGTAAGGTCTTTCCATTAAGAAAGGAAAGACCTTAATTATAGGGAAAAAAATGGAGTTGTCGTTCTTCTCCGTTGACAGAGTAGATAGCACATAGCTTCATACAAGAGTTGTTAGTGGAGGGTAAAAAAAAGGGGGGGGGGGGGGCAAAAGGGGGTCCCATGGAGACAATTTGTTATATAAACGGTACATGTAAGAATGGTTAAAAATGCCGATTTACAATATAAATCAATTGCTTAAAAAAGCAATTGTAAACGGTCTTTCCCGTTCTGAAACATGATTGATTGATTGATATATGTGTATGTTTGTTTGTGTGTTTGTTTGTTTGTTTGTTTCTTTCTTTCTTTGAAAGGTCCATATTAGTGTGTTGGTTAAGTTTCTATATTTAGTTTGGAAAGTTTTTATTCTATTTTAGGTCCCGCGCGCGTCTTTGTCTCGCGCCAGATTGTGGAGTCACGTGACGAAGCTTTATAATAGCGAAAACTTAGTATTTTTATTTCTTTTTAGGTGGGGACGTTGGACAGACAACATGTATAGCGACGGAATTTACACAATGTATTTCTTTTGTCATTGTAGGTAATTGACATTTCGATCACAGTTCACGAGCAGTGCATGCTTTGGATTTAATTGATCCTGTGTAACTTTAAAACACGTTTATCGATTATTTTCATACAATGTACATTTTTCAGCAGCAGTTTGTAACACAGATTTGTATTTCAATCTAGGAGCGGACATTTTATTGTAGGATTTCACTGAGATTTACGGAACTAGCAAGCGATTTTTACGGCATTGCAATTTCTTTTCTCTAGGAAAATTCTTGAGAGATATCTGCACCACGTTCTTTTATGAAGATGTAATACGTGTATACCCTGCTGACTGCAGTTTTTAAGGTCAATTGGACATGTAGTTTCCCAGAACATCTGATAACAAGCATGTGGATTTTTTTTTCTTCAGAAGAGATGTAAATACAATATTACACACATGAGACGGAAACATGCATACAATGAATGATTGGTTGGTTGGTTGGTTTGTTTATTTATTGATTGGTTGGTTGGTTGGTTGGTTGGTTGATTGATTGATTAGTTGAATAATTAAACACGTGGGATAGGGTCTCTTGAAACAAGCGAAAAAGAAACAAAGGAGACCTTGGACCCCGTGTTAAACACATAAGACGGAAACATGCATACAATGAATGAATGAATGAATGAATGATTGATTGGTTGATTGGTTGGTTGGTTTATTGATTGATTGGTTGGTTGGTTGGTTGGTTGGTTGGTTAATAAATTTAACATGTGGGATATGGTGGTCTCTTGAAACAAGCGAAAAAAAAAAAAAAACAAATGAGATCTTGGACCCCATATTAAACACATGAGACGGAACCATGTATGCATGCAATGATTGATTGAATGGTTGGTTGGTTGGTTGATTGATTGATTGATTGATTGATTGATCAATTAATTAAACACGTGGGATATGGTCTCTTTAAACAATCGAAATAGAAACAAATAAGATCTTGGTCCCCATATTAAACACACGAGACAGAAACATGCATGCAATGATTGACTGACTGACTGACTGACTGATTGATTGATTGATTGGTTGGTTGGTTGGTTGGTTGGTTGGCTGGTTGGTTGACTGGTTGGTTAACACAGAGACCGGATCCACTTTGATCACGCAAAGACGGAATAGAAAGCCTAAATACTATATCTAAACACATGGGATTTATCTTTTGAGAGATCACTTAACAAGTAGTAAGGTTAAAGGTCAATGTCAACCTACAAAAGCACTAAACCACACATAAAACTCTTTAAATAGTGCCAAAAACACACAATTTGCCTTTTTTACATGACCTTGACCTTTGACCTTTGACCTTGACCTATATTTTCAAGTTATGGTCCAATGATCTCAAATCAAAATACCCTAGGTCTTTACAACTTGCGGTTCATGAGATTCATATGCATATTTAAAAGTAAAATATTCAAGGGGTAATAACTCCTATAAGAAGTCACTGGATCGCTTCGGTTGAAATTATTTAAAGTTGCGACATGTGACAAGGAACATTTTAAAAAAAACCATTTGCCGCTAACTCTTATGGTTTATGAAGAGTAGCGATAACAATGGTTTTTGTAATTGGGGAGATAACTCCTATAAGGTAAATAGTACACTTTGGTGCCCCTAATACAAGATAGATTTTATTAACCCGATACTTAATACCAAAGATCATTTGGATCTGTCGCGTACTTTTTTTGACTTTTGACTTTGAAATCGGACGAGGAAAAAGAATAATAATAATAATAAACAAACGAAATACAGTAAGGTCTTTCCATTAAGAAAGGAAAGACCTTAATTATAGGGAAAAAAATGGAGTTGTCGTTCTTCTCCGTTGACAGAGTAGATAGCACATAGCTTCATACAAGAGTTGTTAGTGGAGGGTAAAAAAAAGGGGGGGGGGGGGGCAAAAGGGGGTCCCATGGAGACAATTTGTTATATAAACGGTACATGTAAGAATGGTTAAAAATGCCGATTTACAATATAAATCAATTGCTTAAAAAAGCAATTGTAAACGGTCTTTCCCGTTCTGAAACATGATTGATTGATTGATATATGTGTATGTTTGTTTGTGTGTTTGTTTGTTTGTTTGTTTCTTTCTTTCTTTGAAAGGTCCATATTAGTGTGTTGGTTAAGTTTCTATATTTAGTTTGGAAAGTTTTTATTCTATTTTAGGTCCCGCGCGCGTCTTTGTCTCGCGCCAGATTGTGGAGTCACGTGACGAAGCTTTATAATAGCGAAAACTTAGTATTTTTATTTCTTTTTAGGTGGGGACGTTGGACAGACAACATGTATAGCGACGGAATTTACACAATGTATTTCTTTTGTCATTGTAGGTAATTGACATTTCGATCACAGTTCACGAGCAGTGCATGCTTTGGATTTAATTGATCCTGTGTAACTTTAAAACACGTTTATCGATTATTTTCATACAATGTACATTTTTCAGCAGCAGTTTGTAACACAGATTTGTATTTCAATCTAGGAGCGGACATTTTATTGTAGGATTTCACTGAGATTTACGGAACTAGCAAGCGATTTTTACGGCATTGCAATTTCTTTTCTCTAGGAAAATTCTTGAGAGATATCTGCACCACGTTCTTTTATGAAGATGTAATACGTGTATACCCTGCTGACTGCAGTTTTTAAGGTCAATTGGACATGTAGTTTCCCAGAACATCTGATAACAAGCATGTGGATTTTTTTTTCTTCAGAAGAGATGTAAATACAATATTACACACATGAGACGGAAACATGCATACAATGAATGATTGGTTGGTTGGTTGGTTTGTTTATTTATTGATTGGTTGGTTGGTTGGTTGGTTGGTTGATTGATTGATTAGTTGAATAATTAAACACGTGGGATAGGGTCTCTTGAAACAAGCGAAAAAGAAACAAAGGAGACCTTGGACCCCGTGTTAAACACATAAGACGGAAACATGCATACAATGAATGAATGAATGAATGAATGATTGATTGGTTGATTGGTTGGTTGGTTTATTGATTGATTGGTTGGTTGGTTGGTTGGTTGGTTGGTTAATAAATTTAACATGTGGGATATGGTGGTCTCTTGAAACAAGCGAAAAAAAAAAAAAAACAAATGAGATCTTGGACCCCATATTAAACACATGAGACGGAACCATGTATGCATGCAATGATTGATTGAATGGTTGGTTGGTTGGTTGATTGATTGATTGATTGATTGATTGATCAATTAATTAAACACGTGGGATATGGTCTCTTTAAACAATCGAAATAGAAACAAATAAGATCTTGGTCCCCATATTAAACACACGAGACAGAAACATGCATGCAATGATTGACTGACTGACTGACTGACTGATTGATTGATTGATTGGTTGGTTGGTTGGTTGGTTGGTTGGCTGGTTGGTTGACTGGTTGGTTAACACAGAGACCGGATCCACTTTGATCACGCAAAGACGGAATAGAAAGCCTAAATACTATATCTAAACACATGGGATTTATCTTTTGAGAGATCACTTAACAAGTAGTAAGGTTAAAGGTCAATGTCAACCTACAAAAGCACTAAACCACACATAAAACTCTTTAAATAGTGCCAAAAACACACAATTTGCCTTTTTTACATGACCTTGACCTTTGACCTTTGACCTTGACCTATATTTTCAAGTTATGGTCCAATGATCTCAAATCAAAATAAATACCCTAGGTCTTTACAACTTGCGGTTCATGAGATTCATATGCATATTTAAAAGTAAAATATTCAAGGGGTAATAACTCCTATAAGAAGTCACTGGATCGCTTCGGTTGAAATTATTTAAAGTTGCGACATGTGACAAGGAACATTTTAAAAAAAACCATTTGCCGCTAACTCTTATGGTTTATGAAGAGTAGCGATAACAATGGTTTTTGTAATTGGGGAGATAACTCCTATAAGGTAAATAGTACACTTTGGTGCCCCTAATACAAGATAGATTTTATTAACCCGATACTTAATACCAAAGATCATTTGGATCTGTCGCGTACTTTTTTTGACTTTTGACTTTGAAATCGGACGAGGAAAAAGAATAATAATAATAATAAACAAACGAAATACAGTAAGGTCTTTCCATTAAGAAAGGAAAGACCTTAATTACTTACGAGCTACAAGATCCCAGTATACAGTGGCGACACCTTGTGTATTTAAAATCTTTGGCTCCCATTGGATGGAAACTTTATATTTTTTATCACCTGTAAATGATAAACAGAACAATCTATAAAGTATTATAGAACTGTAAGTATTATATACACTTTGAGTACGTTTGCCCGAATGGGTGAATCTAGTTTACACCAGGATATTATTGTCAATGCAGAAGGAGAGTTTAATATGATAATTTAGGAAAAGGGGGGGGGGGTGGTCTTTCAGCGATTTGATCATATGTTATTGAAAAGGACTACAAATGCAGAGTATCCAGTTTCATTTAACGACATCTTGGTGTTAGTAACATTTGGATGCATGACAGATGTAGATGTACATTTGTCATGCATCCAAATGTTACTTCTCATCAAGTTTGTCTATATACCATAATTAAAGATGTAATTATGTCATTTACCTTAGCAACCTGTAGATATGGTGCATTATTGTGCCTTAGAGTATGAATTCAAGCGTTGCTTCGAGCAAAAGAAGATAACAGCGCAAAATTTGTTCTAATAGCAATTGGTAAATTTGTTCAGTCACGAATCATGTCTATAATCTGTTAAAAATGTCCGCCAAGCACACAACAGTTTTAAACGACTAGCCACTGCAACCAATATTTCAATTCAATATGCATAATATCAAATCTAAGACTTGCTTTCGTAGAAATGAGTTCCGAATGGTATAGAGTTAATTGTTCTGTGGTATCAGATGATTTATTTTCTAAAACTACATGTAGAAAACTGATATGTTTTACAGAGACATCTTTTTGGATTCAATATAAACAATTAAACCAGGTGTAAATAACAGGATAAAAACAAAATGTACATTGTAGGAAATATGAAAAAAATAATTTTCCTCGGTACAAAACAGGAGAAAATCTCGGCGAGCCTCGCTTTTCTTCCTGTTTCTAAATCTCGTACAAATAAATTTTATATTTCCAGACAATGTACATATATTGTTTATAAAGGGGCATTAGCTGTCAAATTCATGTTCACCGATTTGACTAAAATTCTGTATTTGATTTATAACATAGTAAAACGTATATCCAAACTACAAAAAGTATAAAATAATCAATTAACGATGAATGGACTCGATAACATATATCAGCATTTTTGTGCGTATTATAGTCTAGACGCCAACTAATTAACTATCGAGATGATCCCGAAGACTGCCGACAGTCATACATTGTACAACCAGATATAAGCCTAAATAATAATATAAATAGATAGCGGCCACGTACAATTATTGGATTTTTCTAAGTCTGTTTGATTTCATGTTATAGGTCAAAAAAAATTGTTAATCATCTTTTTTGCATGTATACGAATGATTTTTATGTGGATTGAATCAGTCACCCAAATGTTTCACCCTTTATTTCACTTTCAATGTTGTCATTCTTTTCCATTTATTAACTGAACACGCCTAGTAAATACGTAACCCATCTGAAGCTAAGGGGTTTAATCGAAGATCACATGAATACGGATTGACATGATGTCGAATTATTCACTTGCAAGTAGATAACAAATCAGCAATGCTTTTGAGCTTATTTCGATAAAGTTTGGCAGCACTAACTGCTTATAACGAAATAGTATTTCAAAATTTCGCTTTAATTCATACTTGAAACAAAAAGAATCATATTTTAATTGTTTGTCTCAATCGTAGCTAATGCCCCTTTAATATCCACTTTGTTTACAATTGAAGGAAGTAAATGGTTTACTTTTCTCACTGGTATAAGTTAGAAATACTCATGACAATATCACATGTAATAATATCTGTTTTTTTCCTTCATATTAGACATTATTGTTATTATAAGAAATGTATACCTATATCTGTATGTTCTACAGACTTTCGAATTATTGTATCTAGGTAGTGAAACTTACTATTGTATATAAATAATCATAAATAGTTATATGACTTTTGTATATCTAATTTTCTAAATAAATATAGAACATATTATGAAACTACATATGTATCAATAAAGAACCTACCACAATTTGTGATATTGCCTCGTTGTTGGACGATCTTCCTCTTCCCAAATGATGTGAAAGGATTCCGGTCCATTTCAAATTCTCGAACTTCTAGCTTTTCTGTCTTTTCCATCTTATAAAAACTAAAATGACCGGATGCTGCCGCTGAGCAAACACATAACCATAGTATGAAAATAAAATTGTCCATCTACAGAAGAATAACATGCAGCAAGTGAAGTACTCCGAGTAACTTGAAGTAACTGCGCGAATTCGTTAATACGGTTTAACTTCTTTTATTCATGTTTTATTTCTTTCTGTTATACCGCAATTCTAGACTTAAGTGATTTTCCTGTACAGGTTTGTACGTGTTATTGCATGCACGTTATCTTAATACACTGTTCACGAATTAAAAAAGAAGATTTAGCACATAAAATAGCCCTAAGTTTTTGATTGGTTTATGTATATGACGTTGCTCAATCATCTATGTTTTGGGTATTGTTTAAACATTGTAGATTATTTTTTGTTTGCTATTGGATTGTCAACAGATTTTTGTTTTTTAAATTAAAATCGTGCCTAATTGTCTTTTTTACAATTATTTTTTTAAGGTCTGATTTTATTTAATCGTCTATTTCTTTCTACTTTCTTGTAAACATGCAGTTTCAAACAAAAATCTTAAATTAAATGACTATTCCAAAATAAATATTCTAGTCAACAAAAGAAACGATACAAAACTTTTATCAAAAATAATATTTAACCGTTTGGTAAAAAACAATAACAAATAGATAAAGTATGTTTTAACGTTCTATGTGACACAGAAACAAAAAATGACATCCCAGACAGTTCCTGGGCCAAATATGAAGGACAGATCAAGGTCATTATCCGGAATTTCAGTTAACGGAACTTAATAGCGAGTATGACAGCCTCTTGCAGCAACCACAGCTTCACACTTACGACGCAGAGATCCAATCAAAGTCATAATGTTGGCTTGGGGGATATTGTTCCACTCCTATATGAGAGTTAAAAAGCAAACCTTGTAGCGTTTTCGGTGGATTTTGCCTTTCTCGAACACATCTGCCAAGTTGATCCCATAAATGTTGTATAGGAGACAGATCCGGTGATCATGCTGGCCATGGGAGAACGCGAATATGGTTTTGTTCAAGAGAGTCCATTCAAATCCTTGCCACGTGATATCTATTCTGTTGGCAAACATTGTTGAAACCGCGTTGTCGAATAAAAGGCAGAACAATAGGACCAAGAATTTCATCAAGTTACCATGAGCGATTTTTAATTGCGTGCGTCCGTTGTGACATATTCCACCCCTTACCATCACATTTCCGCCTCCGAAAAAAACCGTTGTCATGACACAAGGCCCAAAAAACGCGTTCGCCTTGCCTACGGTATCCTCTCATGTGTCCATCACTAAAACGGGTAGCAAATCGGAACTCATCTGTAAACAGGATATGTTGCCGGTTTGTAACCTCCAACGTGGTCTTGCACGAGCCCATTCAAGTCTTGCAGCCCTATGCTACTGTCTAAAGAGCGGACCTTTCATGATACGTCTTGGACGCTGTCCATGCACTCTGAGTCTTCGACGAACTGTCTGACCCAAAATTCTGTTGTTGTGACGACCAGTTATTCCTCGGGTCGTATTTTCCGCATTAAATGTACTGTTGCGCAAATGTAAAAGACGTACCGCATCTTCTTGACGTTGCGACGTCTCATGGGGTCTGCCGCTACGTGGTCTATCATTTGTTGAGGCAGTTTGCCTTAGACGAATCACCAGTCTTGATATTGTTATTTTGGTCAAATGAAAATGATTTGCGACGTCAGCGTGCATCATCTAAGCTCTGACCATGCCAACTGCTTGTTTGCGCTTATTTTTAAGTAACCATGGCATCAAATTCTGGATTTGTTTTCCATTTTTTAAGATGTCAAATTGTTTACCTTGTAGCCCAAATATTAACACAATTTAAAGGCTTCATTGATTCAGGGCGAACTCGATTACCGGACGGAAAAGTAACATTCAGGAGTTTCATCGTATTCGTTTTGGATTTAAAAAAAAGAAGAGTTAACAGATGCTTTTTTGGCGTTAAATACAGAAATAAACTATTGTACTATTATTTGTCTGTTTGTCTTTTTATTTTTGGCCATGGCGTTGTCAGTTTGTTTTCGATCTATGAGTTTGACTGTCTCTCTGGTATCTTTCGTCCCTCTTTTATAGAAACTTTAAATTGAAAAATGTAAAAATATTGACAAAATAAACTTTGTATCGTTTCTTTTGTTGACTAGTAAATATAGGTCATGTAGCTTCAACCCTAGACTTTATCAAAATGTTAACTTAAAAGTCCATTTATGTTGCTGAGCGCAAAAAGTCCATATATGCTAAGCACATGTCCTACCTCCATGACAAATATATTGTTGTCCCTGCAAATAAATTCAAAAACAACATCGTTTGTGTGTGTAAATTACTGCATAAAACTAGGTGATGAAGGAATTAAGTAAATTAAATGACAATTCACTTGGAAAATCAACATATTATATACACCTAAATAACACTTACCAAAGTGTTAATTCGGAATAATCATTTGTCTGTTCTATGTCTTTATTTTTTACATTTTAACCAAAGATAAAAAAAAACCTGGAATTTGCTTTACTGAAATGGATATCTAAATAACACAGGTGTCCTTACAAACAACGTTATATCACTACGTCTTCAATTCCTCCACGAAATATCTTTCTACAAAACTATCAAAATCCATCTTATCAGCTACCAAAGCTAGGCTTCAGACTTATTTTGAAATAAACTTTTCTAAGTTTCCTATTCAAATCTTAAATTAATAGTATTTTATCAGAGAAAATAACAAGAAGGATGATCAAAATTTTATTGACATGATTACATATAAAATAGCAGTAGTCTTCACTGATTCCGCAACAAAAGCATTTTGGTACAAAAAACGTTAAATCTATAATTGAAAGTGTGAAGCCTCACGCAAATTTGCAAAATAAATCTTGGTTCAACAAAGAATGTAGAACAGCTAGGAGTGTTTACCGAGAATTCAAACCGTTGTAAAAGAGAGTCCGAAAATTTATGTAACCTTGCAAAAATGGCAGAAAGGCATTATAAAAAAGTTCTGAATAAAGCACAAAAAGATACATAAATGACTTAAGAAAAAAGATGAATCAAATGAAAAGTAGAAGTCCAAAAGAGTTTTGGAAAATTGTAAACGAGCGAGAAATTTCCAAACAACCAGATATTTGTTTTATAGAATTGTTTTCTTTCTTTAAAGAATTAAACTCACACAAAGAAAATACTGCTAACGACCCTACATTCCCAGTTATCGAAAATATATTCGATAACATAAATGAAGAACTAAATATGCCAATAAGTACATGTAACTATAGTGTGAAGCTAGCCGGCGTTAATATTCATGAGGCTAGCCTTCAATAATATTCATGAGACGAGACCGCGTTCGATGAAGTGGTGTTGGTAATTAATAGATTATGACAATAAAATAACTTTTAGCCGTAAATATCTAATATGGTTCCGCTATTTATAGCAATATAAAATCTAAAATAAATAGGTGTCTTCTGCAAGGTCCGCGTCTTTTAACACCATTTAAAGTGAAAGTAAACATAAAGGTAAATGCCTCCATACACATAGAAACCAAGAAACGATTCATCTAAATTATGCGATAAGTTTTTAACACAAGAAAGTATCTAAAAATGATTTATCAGTAAAACACAGTTGAATGAAATGAAATATTTCCAACATTTTGCACAATATCTGCATATGCTACATTTTATAACTCCTGATTACGAAGAAACTTCTGTAAAATTTTTGTAATATTGCATGTATATTGCATGAAGGATTGACACGAATTGCAGAATCCTTTGTCTTCGATGGTGGGACAACAAGCACCCATAGTATATTTGTAATTAAAAACATGCAGCTGGTATTCTTACACTTGAAAATTTTTAGTATTAGACATTATTTTTTGTTTCAAAGTTAATACATTCCTATTTATAGAAAGAAAGCATTCTGACACTTTATATCTTCATGTAGTGAAATCCATGAGATTGGGAATCATATGTAAACTTTTCCGATTGAAATGACTATATAAGAAGTTATTGGCCAGACATGGAAATTAATGATTGATAATCTGAAGGTTACATATTTGTCGGTCTAAACCTTCAACAGAATCTAAAAGAAACATTTGCTTACCACAAAGAAGCTTGAAGGCAGTTGCAGCCGCTTTTACTTGCAATACACTATGATAATGTGTTGACAATGCACAGGTAAATTATAGATCATGATAATGGTCGAGCCTAAACATCCTCTTTCAATGGTAACGAAACACCATTTTTAATACCTAGTTACTTTATTTCTATTAATAGCTTTCGTTTCAATAATATGACTTACCTGTAACACGACTAAAATCTTCCTCCTATGTAACAGGGTATGTGGAGAATAATGTCACTTCATAGTATAATATTGAGACCATAGTTAAAATTGTAAATAATAACTTTTAAAACTATTATAACCAGGGTTGCACAATCCCTTAAGCAACGTTTACCTGTTTTTTGCCTTTATGTTGTATTTAGCCTTATAGATCTAGGTGCGCAATGTTTTGGCGTCGAAAGCTATCCAATTGCAAGAAATACGTGTTGTGCAGGCAGCGCATTCAAATTGATACCATACGCGTTTTTTTATGAAGGTCTTGGTATATCTAGCTCAATGTAATTGCCCAGATAACTTATTGATAAAGCCTAACCAGGAAAAGCATTCTGATTTTTTCCTTTACGTTTACTTGGTTCATACCACTGCTGGTGAACAGTTTGTATCTTAGAGTACAAAAATGTCTCATTTATGCAGTGGTCAGTAAAAATGTAACAGATAACCATTTATTCATCACTTTTGATAATGCCATAAGAATCTAAAGCGAGTTATGAGATATTATCTCTCATAATAGTTCATATATTCATTTGCATAGAAGTATGAAACACAATAAACATAAAAGTTTCGTCAAATGCCTTTATTTTTTGTTGCTTACTAGTAATTAATTATTATAAAGTTGTTAACTTTTGAGAAATCTAAACCACGGTAGGTATAGTGTCCGATCGTGGTTTTTCGAGTGATTTGATCAGGTTTTTCGAGTGTGACAACTTTTTTTCGAGTGATTATGATAAAAAATGTAAACAAACAGACTT